AGCGTGCATCTTCCCAGGAACCTTACTCTTGTGCTCCCATTCCACCATCTCCTACACAATCCAACACAACTTTTACAATAAGAATCCACCCAACATAAAGCAATACTTCTCCTTAACTCCACCAAAAATTAAATCAGATCTACAAGTCAACTAAAGAGAGAGCATTTTGCTAGAAACAAGTTAGATTTCCAAAAAAAAAAAAAAACAGCCTAAACTACAGTGATTTAACTACTCTAAAGAATCACATGTAACAAGACAGAACACATGTTCCACGAAGAGAGTGAACAATGTTTCAAAGTAATAATTAAATTCAAAGAATTTTTCAACTGAAGTATAGTAATTTAACTACTCCATAGAGGCAGATATAACCACAATCTTCCTTCATGGAGAAGAGACAGAAGAGATGTTCCTCGTTTAAAGTGCTCAATGACAGAGTCAAAGCAACGTTTTCTCTCACATCTAATTATTTATAATATTGAAAATCAGTTACCTGCATAGCAAGTGCGTCCATGTCTGCTCTCAAGGCAACAAAAGGGGCTTGACCAGTTCCGACATAACCAATAACACCGGTTAGAGCAACTGGGTACTTGTAAGACACTCCCATCTTCTCCAGCTCTGTCCTAACGAGCCTAGATGTCTCTACTTCCTCGTAACCTAACTCCGGATTCTCATGGATTTTTCTTCTGATCCCAACCATCCAGTCGAAAAAATCTTCTCTTTTAGCTAAAGCAAGAAAATTTCGAGGGATTTGAGAGAACCCATTTGAGGTTAAGGGAGATGAAGATGAAATCTGACAAGAGTTGAGCAAGTCGATGATCAAAACAAAAGAAACCCATTTGCAGAAACTCATGGCTATTTTAATCGATTGATTGGATACGAACCAATCGATTGAAGAGAATATGAGATCGAAGAAGAAGGAAGAGTTCTCTGCGTGCTGATGAAGCAGGGAAACAGGAAGCACAAAACGGTATTTAAATACACAAACAGCGAAAGCAAACTTTAATGAGTGAGTTACATAAGGAGACACTTTGTTCTCTTTTTTAACACAATAAGACACAAAGCACTAGAGGGGCACTTCATCCTATTCCTTCCCATGTGTTTATACACATATGCCCTTTTGGTGTGGTTAAGATGTTGAGAGGTGAGTTATTTTTAATAATATAATTTTCTGTCCCTTTAATTCCAACGAGAAGGAGAAAGTGATGTTTCACTTGTTTCCTTAAAAGAAACACATAACAACCGTTAGATGAAAATCTATCCGACGGTCATGGTGTCTTCTTTTTGAAAAGTAGGTGAGCTCATAAATGCATGAGCTTACATCGTTTGAAGGAGCAGGAGGTGAGCTTACCGGTGGTGAAGAAGAAAACTTCCGATTTGCGGTTGAGTAAAACTCTGTTTGTCGTTTTTTAAAACAGTATAATAACATTGGTCGACGAATCAAATATCTTTAAGGTTAACATCTTAGGTTAACTTGTTGCGTTTTTTTCAGGAAATCAACTATCTTTAAGGATGGAGGACCAATGTTTGGTTCTAATCGGTGAGTGGGTGTGCGGAGATGGAGGAAAATGGGATTTCATCATCGAGAAGCATCGTATGGGGCGTATGGTGCCTGTATATGAGGGCATTGGTTGTGTGGAGCTTGAGCGTAGTGTACTGCGTGAGTTTGGAGTCGATGAATCCCGTTTTGGTGTTGCTCTGAGTTACTGGCCACCAACAACCCTGGAGCTTGCAACAGGCATTAGGACCCCACCGGTCCTGATAACAAGTGATGCGACTGTGAACTATTTCTGCAAACATTTCAAAGTAACAGGGGGGATGAACCTGTTTGCTAAGTTTGAAGTGAAGGCTAGAAATGTGGACGATTTTGTTGTGGATGATTCAGGTTTGGGATTTGTGTCACCAGAAGCAGCAATGTTTTCGTGTAGGTCATCTAGAGAAAGAAGTGATTCAGGTTTGGGATTTGTGTCACCAGAAGCAACAAGGTTTTCGTCTAGGTCATCTAGAGGGGGGTTCGTTTCATCAGCTGCTTCTAAGACTAAGGTTATAAACCTTGTGGAAGATGATGATTTACTACGGGAAGCTGAGAACGTGGAGAGGAGGTTGCTGAGTGAGAGACTTAGAAGAGAAAGCAGCGACGATGTGGATGACAGTGGTTTAACCTCTGGAGCAAACACTGAAGGAGATGTTGTTTTGGAGGAGTTAGAAGTGCGGCCAAGAGGTTACGATAAAGACTTTTGGAAGCCGTTATTAGATGGAGCGTATGGAGGTTCAAATGCCGTTGATGTGGTGTTCAATGAGGATGAGATATTTGAAGGGCTAAATAAAAAATCAGGGCCGAGATCTTTTGTTGAGGTTGGGGGGTCTAGCGGTGGTGATGGCAATGAAAATACACCGAAGCCGGAGGATTATAATCCTTGGATGGGAGGTGGCAGTCTTGGTCAGACTGGTTTGAACACGGGGAGACGACCTACTCGCTTACTAAGCGATGTTGATGACGAGGAGTTTGATATTCCTCCAATGTTTGATGATACAGAATATGACGTGTCTGAGATCCCTGACATGGATGTTGACGAACATGATGGTGAAATAGCTGTTGGAAAGGTTTTTGGCAGCAAAGAGGATTGTCAGATAGCTTTGGCGATTTATGCAATTAAAAAACAGTTTAAGTTTAAGCAGACTCGGACGAAGGTTGATTCGTTTGTTGTGGAGTGTCCCGATCAGAGGTGTGATTGGAGGGTAACGGCTCATGAGATTAGGGGTTGTGGTTACTATGAGATAAGGAAGGCTCAGCTTGATCATCTCTGTCCAATAGAATACAGACAAGGTTACAAGAGCAGAGCAACATCTCGTGTCATTGCAGCCGTGTACAAAGCAAAGTTTGGGAACCCCGGGAAGTGTCCTGTGCCACGTGATCTGCAGAAACTTCTATTGGAAGACCTACGTGTGACTGCTTCGTATATGACGTGCTATAGGGCTAAGGAGAAAGCAATACTTGGGGTGCGTGGTTCAGATGAGGACGCATATCTGAAAATCCCTGAGTATCTGCATATGCTCAAGTTAGCAAATCCTGGTACAGTTGCTGATTTAGAGACTGATTTAGACGACGATGGAGATGAACGTTTCCTTTACTTGTTCCTTGCATTTGGGGCATCAATTTGTGGATTTAGAAAGCTGAGGCATGTGTTGGTGATAGATGGTACCCATCTTAGCGGTAAGTACAAAGGAGTTCTCTTGACAGCTAGTGGGCAGGATGCTAATTTCCAGATTTTCCCCCTTGCATTTGCAGTTGTGGACGCTGAGGACGAGGATGCGTGGACATGGTTTTTGCAAAAAGTAGAGAGGATTTTAAGCGATTCCCCATCTCTTGCCATAATTTCTGATAGGGCTGTGTGTATTGCCAATGCTGTGAGTATGATTTATCCTCAAGCCAAGCATGGAGCTTGTATAGTACATTTGGCGAGGAATGTAAATTCTAAGTTTTCAAGTAAGCACCTAGCAGAGTTGGTGACAAAGACAGCCATGGCTCACGTACCACGTGAGTACAAGGAACTTTATGGGAAAATAAGGGCGACCAACGCTGCTTGTGGTGTGTATTTGGCTAAAATTGGTACAGGTCGTTGGTCAAGAGCTAATTTCCCTGGTGAGAGATTCAATATAATGACAAGTAATATTGCTGAGCAGCTGAATAATGCGCTCTTGGAAGGGAGGGGAGCAAACATTCTGGAGTTGGTAAAGTTCATTCAGAGAATGATGACTAGGTGGTTTTGTGCGCGTAGGAGGAAGGCGGTGAAACACAGTGGGGCTGTTAGTATAGAGGTGGACAAAGAGATGACCAAAAATATGGCGACTGTTAAAGGAAGTTACATAAATTCTGTCAATGAGTGGACTTGTCAAGTATTGGGCAAATTTGGTAGGTCTGACAAGGTAATGCTAGCTGAGAGGAAGTGTAGTTGTAAGTATTTTGATAATATCAAAATACCTTGTGGTCATGCTATACTAGCGGCTAACAGTCTTGGAGTGTCTACGGATACATTGTGCGGTCATTGGTATAAGACATCTGTGTGGAGGGAGACATATGAAGGTGTGATCAATCCAGATGAAGACCCAAGGGATGTGGACATACCTGAGGATGTAAGCAAGAAGGTTCTATACCCTCCCATCACCAAAAGGCAGCCTGGACGTCGTCGGAAGACACGCATCCCATCCACGGGAGAGATAAAGGTGAGAGGATTTGTTATATAAAACAAATTTTGAGAATTGTTTTTTTTTCTGAGAAAGATGGTTTGTTTGTATGGTTTTAGGTACCGAAGAAGAAGGTGAATTTGAACAAATGTGGTAGGNCGTCGGAAGACACGCATCCCATCCACGGGAGAGATAAAGGTGAGAGGATTTGTTATATAAAACAAATTTTGAGAATTGTTTTTTTTTCTGAGAAAGATGGTTTGTTTGTATGGTTTTAGGTACCGAAGAAGAAGGTGAATTTGAACAAATGTGGTAGGTGCAGGGGAGTTGGACACAATCGCACCAATTGCGTGTGTCCCATCTAAGCTTGATGTGAAAGGAGTAGTTTTTGGCAGCTAAGAGGATTGGTGATGTTTTTGCAGGCTGATTATGTTATTGTTGATGTTGATGTTACTCTTTTGAAACAATATTTATGGAGAGCAAACAATATTTTGTTGGTTTGAGGGACGTATTTGTGGGGAGGCTGATTTTGTGATCGTTGTTGTTGGTGTTAGTATTTTGAAAAAATATTTGTGGAGAGCAAACAATTAATGTGATTGTTGTTCATGATTTAACTATTTGGAAAGAATATTGTGGAGATCGAACAATCTTTTGTTGGTGACTCTAATGATGTTGAAATTCTGAAGAGATTTAAGTAAAAGTTTGTTAATATGTATGTGGACAGTAGATTTTGTAAAAGTTACTAATTTTTAAAAAATGTCCATAGTGACATGTACTTGGACTTTAGAATACAAGTTGATGAATGACATGAAATAGAACAAGTGCATCAAGATTAGTAGCCTTGAAACATGAAATATGAACCAACAAAATATTTTAGCATATGAACCATACATTTTAGCATATATATAATGTAGTGCTTTTCAACCAACAGTAGTTCAGAAACAAATGCATTAGTTGCAAACGAAAACATAGAAGAAGATAAAAAAGGATATTGCGAAAATTAGACATTTGGACATCCAAGTTAAACTTCTAGTTGATCCTAGTGTAAATCCAGATCATAGTTCCAACTGCAATGGCTGCCACAGCGATGTTGGTCAATGAATTGACAGAAGAGGACATCGGTGGGGACGCAATAGTATGGTTGTCCTTACTGCCACAGCTGTTAGTCTTCGAATCCAGAAGAATCTTGATCTGGTGTAGGGTTTCGTCGATTTGTTTTGCCTGTTGTTCTAAATTTCTTGTTGTGGAGAGCTTGAAAGAGTCGAGATCTGCCTTTAGTTTGGTGTGTTTAGCATCAACCATGTGGATCTCGTCTACAATGGCCTCGTCGACCCACTTGAACAAGTGGTGCTCCGATTTTCTCTGGTAATGAGTTGGAGGATTATAAATGTGAAATTGAGAGAAAGAAGAGAGTTGGGCTTAAACAAACCTGGAGCCATATCTCGCATCGATAGAACCTGCGGAAGAGATTCTCCTTGGTTTTAGCACCAAATGTGGTCAAATTAGCTCCACACCAACAACGAGTGGGTATTCCAGATGTGTGTCTACCAGAAAAGATTTGTGACAGTGAAGAGGAAGATGAGGAGCTCATGACGAATACAGTTAATTCGAAGATGGAAGGCTGCGAATTAGGTTTCTATTTGGGAGAGTTTTAGGGATTTAGTTGGTGAAGAATGTAAATGAAAATGAACTTTACAATGAGGTCCGTCGTTACTTAAATATCTGAAGATGCCTTTATTGGTTATGGAAGGTTTAGTAAAATTGTGGATGTGGACATAAATGATGTATTTAGACATGTTGTAGGACATGGACATGTTGTATTTGTGTTAGTATTTTCATGTTGTATTTGTGTTAGTATTTTGAACAAACCTGCGTAGTTTTGAGACATTAAGAAGTCTTAAACTTTGAAATTAGGATAGGTTTAAGTTTTGGCAGAGTTTCAAAAGCATTTCAACAAAAGTAGTCTAACGCTACAACTACATTACACAGTCATAGGAGCTGCTAATCATCAGTGGAGCGGGCAGCATAGTACGAAGGCAGCACCAAGGTCTTGTAGATGTCCATTGCATACTGCTTGCGTATGTCATCGACAATTTGGTCTGTGATTCCGGCCATTCCAGGGGATGGATCACCATGTGCGTGTAACTCAAGAAATTTCATGGTAACAGGTCCGCAATCACCGGATCGGCCGTTAATGTAGATATCTGGAATACGGGAGCAGAGAAAAGGCTTCACACCAGTGAATTGTGTTAGCTCACACATGGCAACTTTCTTAACAAGGTAAGGGAGGCAAGCTAGGACGGGTTTCATCCACTTAGCCATGCGACGTACTCCATTCAAAGCTGGGAGAGGATCAAGTATTTCAACCAATCCCATATCGAGGTTGATTGCTAACCCAACCCAGTGAGACTTGTTCCAGAGCATAGGCGTGTAGATGGTGTGGATGTCTTCCATCCATTTCTTTCCAGGGCAGAGAACAATGTCGACCAAACGCTGGTCCCACACGAAAGTGTCCTTGTTCTTCTTACCACACTTGTTGAAATTGTCCCAGATCTGGTTAATAACAGAAGTAAGTGTAGGTGGGGCGAAAGCTGCTTTTTCATTCTGCAGAATCTCAGAGTGTCTAGTAGAGAGCATGTGGACAAGAATTTCCATTTGCTGGACATTTAACACAAGAGGTATCGAGTTAAACAAAACCACAACAGACTATCTCAATACAAAGAAAACATAGAGATTTACTTACATATTCGGTTGTCCATTGCTTAGGCTGAGCAATTTCGAGCAGAAATTTGTTTGAAAACTCAAATTCAAATGGAGTGCTATGGAACCTGTGACACAATTAATATAAAAAGAAGGGTTGGAATAAAGACAACATTGCTAAATCTGGACATCAAACAAGTGTTAGTAAATCTTACACATCAATGTTGGGTTTGAGGATGCTATGGAAAAAATCCCATTCCCTCTCTGGGAGTGGGGTGATGAGACCCAAAGCAGGAATGAGTGGAGAGTTGAAAAATTCCTTAGCTAGAAGGTTTTCGAGCATAGATGGAACGTGTGTGGGTGGGTCTTTAGTTCTTGTGAGATCGACGACGGGATCCTCGGCAGCCTGAATGTTTTTATTAACAGTAAATGAAAAGTTAGCGAGTAATCAAAGTTAGCAGATCCGTTGAGATCTCGAAATTCTAAAATCCATCCTATATAGGACACATACCTCATCAATGGCTGAGTTCGTAGAAGCTGTGGCTGTAAATGCATTTGGTGTCCCGGCGTGGCTTGCGAAACCAAGACCACCTTCATTACTCTTGACCGGTGATGTGAGTGGAGTGAAAGGGAGTGGTGACAACCGTAAACGAATGGGTGGAGAGGATGGACCAGCTGTTTGGTCGAATATAGGACCTGTGGATAGTGGTGGGTCTGGGCTAACAGCCGTTTTGTCGTAAATCCTGAGACCATGATATAGTAGGTGATTAATCTCCGGGCTGTCTGGGTGATCTGCTTTATCATAGATTTTGGAAGGTGGGTCCCACTGGCCAGGGTATAGTGTTCCGAAAGTACGAGTCTCCGTGGTCTTCTCATTGGGGGCAAGAGGAGTTGTCTGGACTTCGTTGTCAGGTTCATTGCCGGTCTCATTCTGACTTCTTGTAGGTGACTCAGGCTGATGGTGGACATCTTTTGTGTCGAGGTTCCGTGGGGTGTGGACATCGTATGCGTCATGGTCCATATCGTTGTCAGGTTCATTATCGGTCTCATTCTGAGTTGTTGTAGGTGACTTTGGCTGATGGTGCACAGATTTGGTGTCCTGGAGCGGTGGGCTCTGGACATCTATTGAGTCGTCTAACACAGCATCCACAGCCTAGGATGCAAACCAAAAAGCCTAAATGAGAGTGTGCAGCTTGAGAACCATATATTTAACATCAATTAGTAATGCAAACCTGGTCGTCAACAAAAAGCGGATGTGGGACAAGAACCCACATCTGACACTTGGAATTGTGGACATCCTCTGTGCCGTGGTCCATATCCTCCACGTCCTGAAAATGTAGGGGTTCGACATCGTGCAATGAAAAAACAAAAAATTTAGACAAGGTTGAATGCAGGGACATGTTATGTGAAAGCTTGGATGAATGAACATCACCTGGTCGTCGTCTGAATTTGGCTCCTGAGTGGTCGTGTTAGGTGAGGTGTGGACGGTGTCTTGATTGTTTTCCAGATCATCGACATCCTACAATGAGAAAAAATGGGGTATTCATGTTAATAAAGGTGGTGTAATTAGTAGGAACGGAAACTTGTAAGTAAATTTGAAAGAAGGAATGATTGAGTTTTACCTGGTCTCTGGTATTCATGTCATCTTCTGAACTTTGTTGAGGTGAGCCGTGGATGGTGTCAGTGTTGGTTTCCATAGCATCAACATCCTAAAATGATGAATACAAAATGTGGTCAATTAACAGAAACTCAACTCATTTCCAGTAGGATTCAGGCATGACTGACTGAACTTTACCTCCTCTGTGGGATTGAGTTCACCAGTGGTCAGACCAGTGTCCTCAGCTGAGAGATGTCCAATTGTAGTGTGGATGGTTTCGTTGGAAGCATCCGTGTTCATGTTTTCATGAGCCTGGCGGTGGAGATGAGCTGCATACTGACTGATTATAGGTGAGTGGGGATCCTCATGATTATCTGTAGACATAGCATCCACATCCTATAGGGGACACAAAACAGAGTATTAAATTTTATTTATATATATTAAACTTTAAATTAGATGGCTGAATGCGTATTGAACATCACCTTGTCAGTTGGATCGATATCACTTGGGTCAACACCGCTCTGATGTGTGGGAGGAACATCCTATAAGCAGAAGTGACAGGGACAATAAGAAACAAAAGAAACTAATAGCAAAGACTGTAAGATTTTGTTAAATCCTGTTACCTGTTCTTCAAAATGAGATGTCCGCTGATTCTTGGTACGAGATAGCAGTGTGTGAAATTTTGATTTTCTTCCATGAGATTTTCTCTTGATCTTCTTTATAAATTTCTTCATCTGTCTCATGTCCTTCTGAAGTTCCAACACCATCTCCGTAAGTTGTGCGTTGGTGAAACTGTTGGCATTTGAACGTGTGAAGTAAGAACTTATGCGCCTTTGATTCCTTGTAGACGTCTCTTTCTTGATGATCGGCTTTGGTTTGAGAGATTGTTTGACCCGAGTGAGCTTCCCGTGACGGTTAGCACGATCTTTAGGCTGTTTAAGCAAAGGAACCGTTGTAACCCCACCAGGCCACATAGTTTTGTTGAAAGTGTAGCTATCAGATATCAACTGTTCCATGTAAATAATGCGATCGTCCTTTGGTACATTGGACCACTCGCCCCAACCAGCCTCCGGCTGCCTTTCGATATGTATGACAGGTGAGACAAATAGCTGAAAACACAATTAAACACAGATTAATCAACCATTAAAAATCTTTAACTCCAAACTCTTGTGGACGTGGACATTAAGTAATAGGGGTATAATTAGACTGAGATAGCATGAAATACCCTTGTGGACGTGGACATTAAGTAAATCAGTGGTTCTAAAGCCCTAAGTATATTAAGCTTTTAAAAAGGTAAACATTAGGAAACACTAAACTGGTTACTTACATTAGAGGAGAATTCGACCCGAAGGATGTCAAGAGAACTGATAGAGCCGTGTTGCGGTAGGTAACCATCTTCAAGGTCCATCAGCGTGCGGTTATGGGGAGGAGCAGGGATGAACTCAAGCAGTTGGGGGATGGCACGGAAGGCAACCAGCTGGAGTGTAAGCGGAAAGCCCTGCAGTCGGAAAGATTGCTGCTTCAGTTTGTGGACGAGCCAAGAGACAGGATCCTTGATCTTCGGTGGAGCAACCTTGGGTGGTTTCATGCACGAGATGGTCTTCAAGAATGATTCTCTACCCCAAGGAAAGGCAAAGAAGTTTTGGAGGTTTGAAAGCATGCTGACATATCGAGGAGTGGGGCGGGGTACTTGTTTGTGGGCAATGAGAACACCATCGACTATGATAATAAGAGCTATACGAATCTTCTTCCAACTAGACATATTCTTCTCTGCCTCAAGCATCTGACAAAGCTCAGCTATAGTTATGATCTTCTTCGTCCCAAAAAGTTTTTTCCAAACTCGATCTTTGCCCGCAACACCAGACTTGGCTGTGTCAGGATGATACCCTTCTGGAAAAGAGCCACAATTCAGACCTGTTACAGTTCCAAACTCTTGGAGACCGTAACGAAGAGGGTTCCCACCAAAAACAGTCCAGAGCGTGTGCTTGTCCTCACATAGTAGTTGTCGAGTGAGGAACGAGTGAATGAGCTTTGTAGATACTGGAGCTTGACGGGAAGGGATGTCGAATAGCTTTCCAAAAGAAGACTGTCTGATGGTTTTGAACTCGGGAGTGTCTCTGAGATGATGACGAAGGAATGAAAGGATCTCAGGCGAAGAGTATATGTTAAGTTTGTTGATGGGGAATCTGTCGGTGGCAAATAGCCTAAACGGGAGACGCTGATCCGGCTGCGTGTTTGCTGAAAGAGAATTAGACAAACATTAAACAATGAGTGAATCGACTACAAGGTCGTCTGAAATCAGGAGCTACTTTGTTCTTCTGAAATCAACACTTTGTTGTATCGAAAATCACCCAGAGAATTATTAAAACGGCGAAAACCCCTAGAAATCAAACATCTCGAAATCGTTGAACTCAAAAACAAAAGGGAAGAGAGACGGCGAAAGACACTCTGTTTGTAAAACCAAACGAAAATATACGGCTAAAGTTAAAAAGAAAGAAAACTCAGTTACTAACCCTAGAAATCAAAAACAAATCGAAGATAAATCTCGAAAAATTAAAACTTTTTATAAGAAATCAAATCAGAAATGAACAACAAATCGGAAAGAAGGGGAGAAGGAGTCGATCTGATACTAACCGGAGGAAGTCTGAGGCGGATCTGAAACAGGAGAAGCGGCAGTTCTTTTCTTAGCCGTCGCCTGGGAAGACTTGGGTTTCTTCTTCGCCATTGAAGTTTGTCGAAGAAAATGATTTCGAGTGCTGTAGGGATTCGACCGACACAAACACAAAGATTTTGATTTCGAGAGATGTTGGGATTTCGAGATTTTGATTTCGAGAGTAGTTTGGATTTCGATGTTTTGATTTCGAGAGATGTTTGGATTTGGATTTCGAGAGATGTTTGAAAGATTTTGATTTCGAGAGATTTAGATTTCGAGTAATGTTGGGGATCTGAAATGTTTGGATATGTCCGACACAAACTCAAAAAATTAGAGAATATAGAGTAACCATAGTTAATTTCTCTATGGTTAAGACAACTAGTGTCTGGTGTAACAGAGGGGCAAAAAAGACATTCAGCATACATGATGTGTGCCTCAAGTGGGAAGTGCCTTATAAGGTAATTCATAAGACAAAAAGTGTCTTAGAAGGTAATTATCACAACTTTAATTGTGTTTCTATTACAAAAACTATTAAATTATATTTTTCTTTGATCAATCATCTAAAGAAAGAAAAACATTGTTTTTCCTTAATTGTAAATTGTAATGATCAATTTGCTAACTGTTTTGAAAGGAGTGATGGGATCTTCTTTGGATTAAAACGTGTAAATAAATAAGCAAAGCGAGGTGGTTCTACAATTCTTCATGTGTCTCTGTTAGAGTTTCTGCATCTGAAATTTGTAATTATGACGTCTAAGAAAGGTTTTAGGGGAAAACTAGTTGCACAAGCAGCCAAATATGATTCCTAATTAACATTGTAAGATCAAACATATACAAGTTTTTTCTAAAAAAATTGTTAATAAATATCTTTAAAACATTATGAAATCTTTAAACATAGAAATAAACTCTATTGTGAATATAAATACAATTGTGTTTATATAAATTGTAGATCTATATATATTTTTCATTTATAATTTTAATAAGATTATATATTTATAAAGAATCTTTTAAGCTATTATTATTTTATTAATCTTATTAAAAAAATTATAAATTGAATCGGTCTAATTCCAAACCGAGAAAATTATTATTTTAATTTTTTATTAATTTATCAAATATTAATTTATAGAATTTTATTATAAATATTTATAAAAAAATCTGAAGTCACAGTACTTCTTATTTAAAATATCTATAATTTTATTGATATAATAAGTATTATCATAAATTAAGATTTTAAAATGTGTAGTACAGTTTATATATTAAACAATTTTACCACTAGTTTGGATCCCAATTCTGTTTCGACTTTCTATATGTATTACTAATTCAAATAACAATATTCAATAGAATCACAAACTATGAAAATATTTATATGAATACTGTTCTTCCTATTAATTATTTATCAAGCAAAATATTTCCATATGATTTATATTTTAACAAGAAAAAATATTAACATATTATTACAAATAAAATGCATGATTTATAAAGAAAAAAAATCAAAAAGATAAATTATTGCCTATTTTTATAGCTTAACTTGGTTTTTTATGTGTATAAATTAATAATTTATAGACATATAATAGGATAAATAAAATAAAAATGTAAATAATGAATGGAAATAGTTAAGTTTTTCCTATTTTAATAATTATTAGCAATGACTTTTACTAATATTCTATATATTTATTCTTTTATAGTTGGATTTAAGTTGATACAGGTCAATAAAGTTTTTGGGCTAGAGTCAACATAAAACATTAAATAATAACTATACTAATTTTGGGTCACATTACCCCGTACAAACATGCTGTCTCAGCCACTGATCTAAAGTTTGCGTCTGGCAGATTGCATTTCATTTTCATGTACTGATTTTCAAATCATATTTTCTTGTTTGGAAAATCATTTCATTTTTTTCAGTTTCATTTTAAGTAATTGTGTCACGTGAAAAGTTCAAAAAAAATTTGAATGGTTCTTATTGAATTTGTTGGCCGATCTATTTGTTGTTGATACAAACAGCTAGGCTTACACATGTAGAACGTGTTTAATGTATTCTATTAGCTTTTTCCTTTTTTCAGATATTTTCTCTATTTTAAATCTTATTTTGCAGAATATTCAGTTGGTTGATTATTGATGACATGCTGTTGAATGTGATATACACTAGCTTAACTTTATAAAAATCATATGGACAAATCGAAACAAAAGAGGCAACACACATTTGAGTTGAGTTCACTTTTTCTTTGATGGTTTCTAAAGAACAAAAGCTTTAATCTATTTGTTCTCTCTTAAAGAGATAAACCAAACTGTATGAAGGAGAGACTCAATGAGGAACACAAAACAAGAACTTGAGAGTTCAAAAACAAACAATGAGTTATAACCTGAAACAAACAACTTTCTCTAAGCAGCAATATCATCTCTCTAACCTAAACCCTTCAGTTTTACACCTCAACAACTAGCTATTACTATATGTACATTTGTTCACTTTCAAATTCTCTTTATTTTCTATCTCTACTTATGTTTTGCCTTTCTTGCATAACTCAAAGTTTCAGTCTTTATACCCAAAACCAATCAGTGATGACTTCTCCTAAAGCATATGCTTCAAAGCCCAAGAAGATTGATGAAGAGAAAACAAAAACAAAAACGTTAAAGCCAGCCAAAAGTTATCTCATGTTTTGCCTGCAGATGGCAATGGTCGGTGTTGCGTTTGTCTTGCTGAGCCTTTCAACACTTGGTTTATCCTACTGAAGACTACTTTCAACGGTAGCCAAGCTACAACCGTTTCCTTTATCTGTCTAGTTGTCTGCATCTTGCTTCTTCCGCAACCCTCTGGCTCGTTAGAATAGAGAGCCGCCTTGTCTTTATGGATAGGGAAGAAGGTTTCTTCTTTGACTTCAATGACTTTCCAAAAGCTCCCTGTGATTTCCCTTTCTTTTTGGACAATGACTTCGCCTTCACAACAGTTTGAGACATCACCATACCGTTGTAGTAGTCTTCTTCCAAGGCTTCAACACTAACATGATGCCCAACAATAGCTTTACCATTTAACTCACTCATACGAGAAACCA